CTCCGCGCTCGGTCGACCAACCGACAACAACTCCATGCATGCCTCTTACTTGTTTTATTTTCTATCTTTTTCGCTTTGTGAAACACCAAAAGGTGAGGCTGGTTGGTGGCCTGTTGCTCTTTCCTTGGAGGGGGAGGCGGGGGGAGCAGCGGTTCGAGGGCTGGGGGGCAGAGTGGGGTTTGGCGGTGCGAGGGGTCAAGGCGGGTTTACAATGGGATGGCGGTTGTTTGAATTTTTCACGGATTTTTTGGGGATTTTCAGGGGGAAGGGGACATTTATTGGAGGTGAATTCGTGTGTTAATTTTGGAATTTCTTTAAAATTATATTTTTTGGTGTGGAGAGGTGTGGCATGTCGGCGGTGGGGGAGGGAAGGGGGGGTTGAGCAGCGGTTTGAGGGGCGAGGGGGGCGGCGTTTTGGCGGTTTGAAGGGTCAAGGCGGGTTTGCAATGGGAAAGTCGGTTACTTCAATTTTTCACGGATTTTTTCAGCAATTTTGAGGGGCAAATAGACATTTATTGGAGGTGCATTCGTGTGTTAATTTTGGAATTTTTTTAAGATTATATTTTTTGGTGTGGAGAGGTGTGGCATGTCGGCAGTGGGGGAGGGATGGGGGGGGAGCGGTTTCGCGGGCTGAGGGGGGTTTTGGCGGTCCGATGGGTCAAGGCGGGTTTACAATGGGATGACGGTTGTTTGAATTTGTCAGGGATTTTTTGGGGATTTTCAGGGGGAAGGGGACATTTGTTGGAGGTGAATTCGTGTGTTAATTCTGGAATTTCTTTAAGATTATATTTTTTGGTGTTGTGAGGTGTGGCATATCGGCAGTGGGGGAGGGATGGGGAGGAGCGGTTTCGCGGGCTGAGGGGCAGAGGGGGGTTTTGGCGGTCCGAGGGGTCAAGGCGGGTTTACAATGGGATGACGGTTGTTTGAATTTTTCAGGGATTTTTTGGGGATTTTCAGGGGGAAGTGGACATTTGTTGGAGGTGAATTCGTGTGTTAATTTTGGAATTTTTTTAAGATTATATTTTTTGGTTTGAAGAGGTGAGGCATGTCGGCGGTGGGGGAGGGACGGAGGGGAGCAGCGGTTTGAAGGGCGAGGGGGGCGGCGTTTTGGCGGTTTGAAGGGTCAAGGCGGGTTTACAATGGGAAAGACGGTTATTTCAATTTTTCACGGATTTTTTGTCAATTTTTGGGTATACATGGCCATTTACTGAAGTTGAATGTGTTAATTTTACAGATTTTTTTTTCGAAATCACTTTAGAGGACTATTCAGGATTTTAAGAACATTTCTAGGATTTCATAAGGAATTAGTCTTTTTCTCTCCGTGGAACACCAAAAGATGAATCATTCTAATGGCCTGTTGCTCTTTCTCAGGTGGTGGAAGGGCGGTTCACGGCGGCGGGGGGGTGGGGATAGGGGGGAGCAGCGGTTTGGTCGATTGAGGGGGCAGAGTGGGGTTTTGGCGGTTTAAGGGGTGAAGGCGAATTTACAAACACGAAAACAATTATTTGACTTTTTCACGGATTTTTTTGTCCATTTTCGACATTGATTGGAGTTGAATTCATCTATTAATTTGAAAAAAAAAATGTAATACTCTATTTTTTAGTTATTCCATTTTTTTAGGAATCGTGAGGAAGTAGATTCGCCAACCATATAAACCAAAACTCAATCATTTGTCTGAAATAGAAAAAAGTTCCACCCGTCAATTTAAAATTGAAAAAAAATACTCCCAGAATTTTTCAAATTTCTTCTAACCCTCTGTCATCAGCGATTGGCTAAACCGATTCTTAAATCCCATTGTAAACTCATCTTTACCTCCACAACAATGCTCCTGCGCATGCGCAGCTGAACGTGGAATGGATGGAGATAAATGAATAGGACAAAATCGCGAGATGCCATCTACAATGGACTCGATGGTCGATGTTTTCAATATTTCAGTTTTTTGGTTACATTGAAATCCAATATTTTTCTTTCAATTCGAAAAAATAATTTCTCAACAATGTTATGAGGAGATAATGTGATAGAAACGTCAATGACTCGTTGTTTATGGTTTAATTGGTGATTGCAATTTTTTCGTGACAGTGCTCTATGTTCTGTGATTATTTTCCCCACGTCGGCGTGTAAATACGGGGAAGTGTGTATTATTTTTTTATTCATTTTTTTTATCACGATCAGGGTATCACGGTGATTGAAATAGAGGAAGATGTCTTCCAAAAGGTACTTTCGCTGGTCTAATTAAGCTTTTCGGGGGGTTCATTTAATTTTAAGTTTGGGGGAAAATTGGGAATTTTTTTTCGGAGCCCAGGTCTCAGCCAAATCATCTGGTTTATCGTTGTCTTTGTTAACCTTCTGCCCAATCATCATTTCTTTCTGAATTCAATCATTTTTCTGTGAAAAATTCCCACATCGTTGATGAGAAATAAAAAAAAAAATTGCTCCAAAATGACAAATGAAATTCCTTTAAATTCTTTTATTTAATTTAGACTCTTTGAGATAAATATTAATAATTATGTGACTGGAATCATTGTTCATTTAATTGAAACAAAAAATATCACGAAATTTATGGGAATTATTGAGAGAAATAAATTACTCCAAAAAGATTTTTGTGTTTTGAAGAGAATAGAGGAAAATAAATCCATTTATATGTTCAATATTTTCTACTCCATTTGAAATTAAAGAAAAATAATTGTATTTTACTGAGCCAATCCCAAGTTATTGATAAAAAAACTTTCCAAAATGAAAATTGATTTTTTTTACATTTTCCAGGCCTCTCATTTCAATTTTGCAAGATAAATAATCCAATATATACCTCTCATGATTGTTCCTCCAATTACAATTGAAGATACCACAAAAATGATCAAAACTGAATAATAAAAAAAAGAAACAATTTTTTTAACGTTTTGAGAAGACTCAGATAAAATAGTCCATATTAAATGTTCAATATCTCTCGTTCTAACGATCCGATTCAGGCGACTCACATCTCATTTTAAAGTTCCCGAAAATACCTTCAAAACAAAAGAAAAGTCATTCAATTTCACTCAGCCGATCTCGAGTTATCGGCGATTAAAGACGATTAGCTTTGCCCTCCTCCCCCGATGTTTACATTCTCGTCACGTTCTCTGTCAACAATTGCCCTAATGATAGACTAATAAATTCCAAGATTGATCCTGAACATTCTTAGCACCGAGTAGCGGCCGCTCATCCCAAAAATACCCCATCGATTGCCCTCCAAATTACCCCAGCAGTATTTTCCTCACTTTCAACTCTAAAAACGGTTAAAATTCCCTCGATGAATATCAGACTTCATTAGAAACCGATTAAACCGAGAGTGAACGAGCCGACATGGCCACAAACTCCTAACGATCCCCATTAATTAATTCCTATGACTTCCCGCAGCGAATTGAAGAAACTATCGGAGGAGAGCTTGACTCGTCAGCCGGAGGAGGTCTTCGACATAATTTGCAAGCTGGGAGAGGGGTAATCATTTTCATTCCATTAATTCAGAAGAATTAGCAGTGATAACAGTGGGCACTGATCATTGATGATATTTTTAGTTCCTATGGATCCGTTTACAAAGCACTTCACAAGGAGAGCGGACAGGTACTTGCTATTAAACAAGTGCCTGTTGACACAGATCTTCAGGAGATCATCAAGGAAATATCGATAATGCAACAATGTGATTCCCCCTATGTCGTTAAATATTATGGGAGTTACTTCAAAAATACTGATCTTTGGGTAAAAAATTTTTTCACTTTTTTTCCAATCAAAATTATTAATTAATTGGTTAAATTGATGAATTAGTTCATTAATTCATTCATTCATTCATCAATTCATTAATTCACTAATTTATTAATTCATTGATTCATTAATTCATTAATTCTCAAAATTAATTTTTGTTTATTACTGTCCCAAAATTAATCTTTGGGTAAAAAAATTTTACATTTTTTTTTTCAAATCGAAATTATTAATTAATTCGTTAAATTGATGAATTAATTCATTAATTTATTAATTCTCAAAATTAATTTTTGTTTGTTAATGTCCCAAAATTAATTTTTGTTTATTAGGGGAGCATGGGGCAAAATGAAACACGGGGCAAAATGAAACAGTGGGAAAATCTCGTCATCTAAAGGAGATAGGACATTTTTGAAGAGGACCTTTTTTGTAGCTTGTAAAATTCTCTACAAAAAAGGTTTTCATGAAAATCGTCCTATCTCCCTTAGATCACAAGATTTTCTTGCTGTTTCATTTTGCCCCACCGTCCCCTAATGTCTCAAAATTAATCTTTAGGTAAAAAAAATTTACACTTCTTCTCAAATCAAAATTATTAAGCAATTCGTTAAATTGATGAATTAATTGACTCATTAATTCATCAATTAATCAATTCATTAATTTATCAATTTTCAAGATTAATTTTTGTTACAAAAAATTTGATTTTTGAAAGGGAATGATAATTCTTGTGAAAATTAATTCGTACATCAATTCTTGTGTCTTGATCTCGATTTTTCATGATTAAAGATTGTTATGGAGTACTGTGGAGCTGGTTCAGTGAGTGACATCATGAGATTAAGAAAGAAAACCCTCCAGGAGGATGAGATAGCGACGATCCTCTGTGACACACTGAAGGGCCTCGAGTACCTCCATTTGAGGCGTAAAATTCACAGAGACATAAAGGCTGGAAATATTTTGCTCAATAACGAGGGGCACGCCAAGCTCGCGGATTTTGGTGTTGCTGGCCAGCTCACAGTGAGTACCAGAATGAAAAATTAATTCAGTAGCGAAGATAATTCTCGATTTATAAGAAGAAGAATTCAAATTATTTTGCAAGAAGGGGTAATCTACATATCTTTTTTCATTAAATTATCCTGTTAACAAATCGATTTTGGGGGAATGCAAATTTTTTTTTGTAGAAGCCGATGTCTTATAGAGAAAAGTTTTTAGTTTAAGAATATCCACTTTGGCTATTTTTTTCCAGACATTTTACAATGATTCTATTACTTAAACTTTGCAGATCTGTACTTGAATCTGGATATTGAACCGTTGGAAAAACTTTTCAAACTCTGAGAAAAACATCAGAAAGTTTACTTTTGGAGGAAAATTGAAAAAATGTAAAAATTGCAATTTTCGTTCCAGAAATAATTGATAAACAATCAATTTTCCACCATAAAAATCATTCCCTTGGAATCATAACAAATTTATTCATATTCAAAATTTTACCAGAAATCGATTTCATGCCTAAAAAATAAGATTTTCAAAAGTTTAAACAATTTCAATTATTCATTTATAAACAACGAATATCAAAAACATAATAATTTTGTGTAAAATGTAAATTGAATGACGCTAAATATTCATCATTGTTCCAAATTTTTTTCACGCAATTTAACTACAATCTTGATTGAAAATGGTTGAGCAAACTGCAAAAGATGATTCCGCAGCTCAACAGTGCGTTTTTCATTATAAAAATGTTCAACGAAAAATAGTTTACAGAAAAAAGTCAATAGCATTCCCTTTTTCTCAATAATTTAATTATTCTATTTTCCATAAAATTTCCTCGCTTAAAATTATCAATAGGATTCCATTATAAAAATGTTCAACAAAAAATATTTTACAGAAAAAAGTCAATAGAATTCCCTTTCCCCGACGGCCTAATTATTCCATTTTCCGTTTTCCGTAAAATTTCCTCGCTTAAAATGATCGACCCTTTCGTTTCCCACTTAAACTGAAAAAAAGAAAAAAGAGAATGACTAAATTCGCTGGATTTTCCGAATTGACCCCGTCTCCCCGTTGAAAGGACACAATGGCAAAGAGGAACACAGTGATACGATTTCATTATAAAAATGTTCAACGAAAAATATTTTACAGAAAAAAGTCAATAGAATTCCCTTTTCCTCGACACCCTAATTATTCCATTTTCCGTTTTCCGTAAAATTTCCTCGCTTAAAATGATCGACCCTTTCGTTTCCCACTTAAACTGAAAAAAAGAAAAAAGAGAATGACTAAATTCGCTGGATTTTCCGAATTGACCCCGTCTCCCCGTTGAAAGGACACAATGGCAAAGAGGAACACAGTGATAGGAACTCCCTTCTGGATGGCGCCGGAGGTGATCCAAGAGATCGGCTACGACTGCGTGGCGGACATCTGGTCCCTGGGGATAACAGCCCTGGAGATGGCGGAGGGCAAGCCCCCCTACGGCGACATTCACCCGATGCGCGCGATCTTCATGATCCCGACGAAGCCCCCGCCGAGTTTTCGCGAGCCAGACCAGTGGAGTCCCGAGTTCATCGACTTCGTCAGCGGTTGTCTGGTGAAGAATCCCGAGGAGCGAGCGACAGCCACTGAGCTCCTCAACCACGAGTTCATAGGGGCCGCCAAGCAGCCCAACATCCTCAGCATGATGATCGCCGAGGCGCACGACATAAGGGAGAAGCAAAGTGCCCACCGTACCCACGTCATCAATAACGTCGCCATAAAGGGCCAGACGAACGCCGACGACTCGGACGAGGACGACTGCAGTGGCACCATGAAGCCACTGCCCGAGGACCCCGGGACTCTGGTGCCCAGTCACGACCTCCCGGACACTGGGACACTCGTGTCCGGCATTCTGGACCTCGGGACGATGGTCATCAACAGCGACACCGACACTGAGGCCACTATGAAGAGGCACAACACTGGCTCTGTCGAGTCGGGGAAGAAGTACCGACCACTCTTTCTCGATCACTTCGACAAGAAGGAGGCCCCGGAGATCGTCAAGGGCAATGGGCAGATTCTTCACACTGAGGACGGCCACAAAGTCGAGCAGATACCCACCACTGAGGCACAGAGGTTTCAGAGCCATCTCCAACTGCAACTCAATCAGATCTCACATCCTGTCCCTGAACAGCAGCACAACAACATATCCAAGTTTCAGAATGCCTTCACTGAACGGGATTTCGATTTTGTGAGTGGAGATTGTTTTTTTGGTGACTTCTTCATTTATTTTGGAAAAGGTTCAGGAGCTAGGGGTGAAAGGTTCGAGTCGAGTTTGACGTTTTGACAGTTTTCAGGGAATATCTTGGAATCGGGGGGAGATAGCAGAATTTTTGATATGACATTTTTTGTAGAGGGAATTTAGTACTACAAAAAAGGTTATTACGACAATTTCGGTATTTCTCTTAGGTTCCGAGATATTCCTCGAAAACTAAGATGACTTTTTCTATGCAAATTGCTTGAAGAAAAAATGAATGAAAAAGGATTTCAGTAGTTTTTTAAATCATTTTAATGAGTTGAAATAATTTAAAGGGATAGTTTTTGAATATAAAAAGTTTTATCGTCTTCTAAATTTATTTTGGAAAGACTGTTTAGGAGCTAGGGGTGAAAGGTTCGAGTCGAGTTTGACGTTTTGCCAGTTTTCAGGGAATATCTTGGAATCGGGGGGAGATAGCAAAATTTTTGATATGACATTTTTTGTAGAGGGAATTCAGTACTACAAAAAAGGTTATTACGACAATTTCGGTATTTCTCTTAGGTTCCGAGATATTCCTCGAAAACTAAGATGAGTTTTTCTATGCAAATTGCTTGAAGAAAAAATGAATGAAAAAAGGATTTCAGTAGTTTTTTTAATAATTTTAATGAGTTGAAATAATTTAAAGGGATAGTTTTTGAATATAAATAGTTTTATCGTCTTCTAAATTTATTTTGGAAAGTGTTCAGGAGCTAGGGGTGCAAGGTTCGAGTCGAGTTTGGCGTTTTGCCAGTTTTCAGGGAATATCTTGGAATCGGGAGGAGATAGCAGAATTTTTAATATGACCTTTTTTGTGGAGGGAATTTAGTACTACAAAAAAGGTTATTACGACAATTTCGGTATTTCTCTTAGGTTCCGAGATATTCCTCGAAAACTAAGATGACTTTTTCTATGCAAATTGCTTGAAGAAAAAATGAATGAAAAAAGTATTTCAGTAATTTTTTAATAATTTCAATGAGTTTAAATAATTCAAATTGAGTAAATAAATTAAGTAAATAATTTATTAAATTATCCCCAAGTGAGAAATTGATGAAAAAATATTTTCGTTAAAATTCATAGTAAAAAACAATTTTTCATCATATTTTCCAGTTGAAATTCCTGTCATACGAGGAGCTCCAGCAACGCATGGCAAGCCTCGACGCAGAGATGGAGCGAGAGATCGATGAGCTACGCAGAAGGTATCAAACAAAGAGGCAACCGATTCTCGATGCAATGGATACAAAGAGAAAGCGCCAGCAGAATTTCTAACACTGTGGTTATTTTTTGTGATAGAACGACAAAACGAGAGATACAAATGGGGGTGTACAGTTGTATAATATTGATTAGATCTTTAACTCAGTAATGCATTTTTTTCCCTCGAATTTCTTGGGTAATTAGGGGCTAATGAGGCAAAATGGACACTTGAGTTTTTTTTCAATGAAGAGGAATAATTTTTTTCCATCGATAAGACAATGGTTTTTGCTGATAAATTTGTTCCTGAGTCATGAAAATTTAAAAAAAAGTCAAAAGTGTCCAGTTCGCCCCACCCTCCCCTGCCCGTTGATTTTATCTGAATATTCTTCCTCTGTTTCTGGGCTTCTACTTAGCATTTCTTCCTGGGGACTATCCAGGAAATTCGGGGGGAGAAATTTTCCGATACTAGCCGATAGCCTCACGTCGCGAATGTAAATTATTTTACAGGACTATTGATGTTGTTAATTGAAATGAGGAGATAATTTCATTGATAGGAAAAATTACGGTGATTCTCTTGCTTAAAAGAACAATTATTTATTTTTTAACATTCAAATCAGTGCGATTTTGCAGGAAATACTAATTTTTCATTTTTTGAATGCATCTAGTTCTCATAAATTAATTCTTTTGTCAGAAAAAACAATTCCTTTTTTTTTTAATTTTCAAATCAATACGATTTTACAGAAAATATCAATTTTTCATTTTTTAAGTCCATTTAGTTCTCATAAATTAATTCTTTTATCAGAAACAACAATTACTTTTTTTTAATGTCCAAATCAATACGATTTTACAGAAAATACAATTTTTTAAAATTAATTTTGTTCACATGAATGAAGAAACTAAATCAATTTAGAATGGAATTCTAAATTTAAAAAACATTAATCTGAATTCATTCAAGAGCAAATTTTTTTCTGATCTTTTTTCGCAATATTTCAAAGACAATGTTTGACATCTCAATAATCACGTGTCTCCCCATTTCCATTAACGCCAAACAGTAGAAAAAATGAAGGAGACAACAACTATACTCAATTCTTTTTTATGTTAATTAAATGTAGTTATTGTTGAATACACTATTCTTATAGAGTTATACAGTGAATAGAGAGCGAGAGAAAAATGTTTAGGGGGTAATGAGACCGAGTGGGAGTTTAACAACTGATAGTTCAAATTTTTTGGGCTGATTTTTTATGATTTTTTTTTATTACTAACATACTAGTCTTCTTTCACGCCATTTTTACGTAAATCGTTGCGTATTTTTTGCTTCTGCTGTGTCGTAATTATAGGGGACATGACTAAAAGGGATTCACTCGACACTTGTGTCATTCGAGCTCCCGATTTTCGTTTGATTGAGTCCTTTTGAATGCTTTTTTATTGAATTCAAGTGAATCTTTGTTTTCGCTGAGCCAGACTTCTTTTATTATTTGCATTATTTGGCATACTTGTAATATCATTTTTACATTTTTTTTTGCATTGAAAACCCACCATTCAATCGATTATTCGTATTTTTTATCGGATATTTGAACTATCTTTGATAAATTCAATTCAATTTTTCAAAGCCACATGTATGATTACGTGGGATCGTAATTAATCGATTTATGAAAATATAAATACGTTGATAATGTAATTGATTGGACGATGAAATTGCAGAAATTTATCAATTAACTAGGACATAGTCTTCCCATTAACTGCGCGTATGCTTCATTAGTCGGTGGACAATTCATCGATGGCTATTTATCGAGTTTAGGTTTGATTGGGAATGTTTCAGGAATACTCAAATTTTTTTTCGATATTCAGGAAGATAAGGTGGAGAGGAAGAATTTTTTATGCAAATCATGTCTTGCTTGATGTTTTATCGAGATTATTTTCAATTGTGAAGTGGATACTTTTTTATTTCTCATTAACGTCTGGTTGGAAATTCCATTCATTTTATCATAGTTATCATAATTAATAAAGGGATACAAACGGCAGAAAAAATAAATAAATAATTCTCCAGAAAAAAGAGAAAATTAATTTTAGAAAAATGAACAAAAATATTGAATTCACTTCACAAAATATTTATTATTCAATTCCCTCGACTATTGGGAATGTTTCAGGATTACTCAGATTTTTTTTTTATATTCAGGAAGAAAAGGTGGAGAGGAAGAATTTTTTATGCAAATCATGTCTTGCTTGATGTTTTTTCGAGATTATTTTCAATTGTGAAGTGGATACTTTTTTATTTCTCATTAACGTCTGGTTGGAAATTCCATTCATTTTATCATAGTTATCATAATTAATAAAGGGATTTACAAATGACAGAAAAAATAAATAAATAATTTTCCAGAAAAAGAGAAAATTAATTTTAGAAAAATGAACAAAAATGTTGAATTCACTTCACAAACTATTTATGATTCAATTCCCTTGGCAATTCCACATTTTTCAATTATAATCATTAATTATCCTGAAAAAAAAAAATAGCCAGAACTGATCGTTAGAATTTTGCAACAGAAAAAGAGAAACAACTAGAAAAAATCCCATTTTGTTATCACCGTTTTGGCATTAAAAACCCGAAATTCAATAATATAAACAGAAAAGTAGTCGTACAGAATGAGTGACAACATATTTTTGATATAGAGACTAAGAAAGGATCGCAGACGCAATACAAGATCTGAATTTACAAAGAAATAAATAGTTACAACCGAAAGATAAAATTTTGTAACCAACAGTGGACAAACGGGACTAATAGAATGGACCCCACCCTCACTTCTGTTCAAAATTCTTCAACTTTTATTTATTAATCTCATGTCAGGACTCATGTATCTGCGCAATTTTTTTTATTATACAAAATACATCACTTATTTATTTGTAATACGAACGTATAAATTCATTTTTCATAGTTTACATGCATTAATGAGCGGATGATTTGAATTACCACCAATAAATGAAGAATTAATTTCATTACAATTATTCAATATCATGAAAAATATCATTAAAAAATGTTTTTTAGTCCATTATTCTTGTACTGTACCGAACGCACTAAGAATTGTAAGATTTTGTAACTAAAAAATTATTAGCGATTAAAATACAGAGTTGGCAATACTCCACTGGCTGAGCAACAATTGAAGTGGAAAATTAACCAATTATTCATTCACAACAATAAACAATTAATGAAGATACGTCGGGCCAGACCGAATGTTGACGAAAAATTCTAAACAATAGACAAATGTGAGATGTGATTTTCCGAGTGGTTTTTACCCAAAAAACATTAAATACATAAAAAATATATAGTTAACACTAATTGAACAAATGCACAATCTTCATAAAGGGGCCTTGTCTTTATACAAATGATAATGAGTGGATTCTTACCAACCCTGAGCGTAAAAGCATTTAAATATTGAAATAAAAACAATTTCTTGCGATATTGAAGACGTGGCGAAATTTCTTGTCACCTGATTTTGGCACTTAATTGCGTTGAGTTATTTTTTTTATAAATTAGAGCGAAAGTGGGTGATACATCGATTTGACGTAATGTTTGGGGAAGTGATAGAGAGGATTTGTCAATTAAATTGCGCAAAATTTTGTTTTAAATTATTCAAATTACATTTCGCACAGATTTATTATTTTGTTAAACATTCCTTTCTTATAAATAAGAAAATAAAATTTGGGAAAGCACTTCATTGAAGAAAATAGCCAATCTACAATCTAAATAGTAATATAAAAAGAATAGTGAATGGATTTTTCAACAAATATCTCAGGAATTAATAGATTTATAAAAAAAAACATCTTTTCAATCTCATAAAAATCTTTACAAAAAATGCAACCGACCTCTATTCAGAAAATTCTTCAGTTAAATTCTTTACCTCCAAAATTATTTTTGAAACAATTTCCAAATTTTTCATCCTCACCATCACTTCCCCTCCCACGTGATTTCATCACTGAGAATTCACAATTTCAGTTCAATTATTCCACGAAAATCCACAGAAATTATTTAAAAACTAAACTAAAAACTTGTGCATTTCCTTGAATTCTCAGTGAAACAAGAAATTTTCACATTAAACACAAAAAAATAATTATCATTGAAAAGTCGAGCCAATCTCCTTGATAATGACCCTGTGGGTTCGATCTAGTTGATTTACGCCCTTTTCCACCGAATAAACAAAAATACATGGCATTGCATTTTCCCCCTCTATTCATTAAATAATTAAAGTTAAGTCGAAAACAATAAATGCAGATGTTATGATCTTACAGCTAGAAGTGATCAGTAAGTATCTCGCCTTTTACCCACTAAATTACCTTGCTCTATATTTTTTTAATTCTCGAGACGCATTGACTCTGCAGTTAAATATTAATTTTCTCTCTATTTGCATTTTATTTCATTGAACTTTCATTCCAGTTCCAAGGAATTGGTGGATATGTCGTTTGTGTCGTTCACTACTGCTTGACTCTATTGTTTTAGCAACTCGTATTCATTATTAAATTATTTATTTATTCATTCGAGCGATATTTGCAATGAAGTGTCTGGACGGTTCGCATGTTGAATTAAAAACGAGTGTCTGTACACGGACGAAAAAAATTTGAGTTGAAACCTAGAGAATTTTACTGGATTTCTGCTCCCAAGTTTTTTCACGTAGAAATTCAATAGAATTTTTTTTTATAAAAACGATTTTTCAAGGAACTTTGTCTGAGGAACTTTCCGTAGAAATTCCTCGACATGAATTTCCCAAATTTTTTCACTCTTCCATTTTCTTTTCATTAGAAAAATCAAGTTAAAAACAAATAGAAAATTTGAGAAAAGGAATTTCTACAGAAAACATCTGAATAGAATAAGATGTACAGAGAAATGGAATTCTACTGATATTTTCTATTAAAAAAAGCGCTGAAAGACTGCAGAATTTTTCAACCGAAATTCAGTGGAATTTTTAGTTTAGAATTATCTACTTTTTTTAAATAAAATTTCGTCCGTGCGTGTAATATTTCCTTAGCTTCCATCACCACCACTTTTGGCACCAGTTTTATCACCTCAGAACTTGTGACCCTAAAATATCAATTTTGTTGCGTTTTAGATCTGCCAAATCTCTCTTTTAAATCTGCGATAATCGAAAGATCGAACATTGCAAAAAATTTAAATAGAAATCCCCTAGAATCTTCAACATCTCCAGATCCCGATCCACCCCCCTCAGCCCAATTACGTTTCACCCCTCCCCCCG